CAGAGTCAGGAGTAAACCGTGAGCACTGCCTCAAAACAAAACCCCTAAAATTTCCCTCTTGCGGGACTGGAGCGATAGCACAGCGAGTAGGGTGTTTGCCTTGCACGCGGTTCACCTGAGTTCGATTCCCAGCATCCCATATGGTCCCCTGAGCACTGCCAGGAGTAATTCCTGAGTGCAGAGCCAGGAGTGACCCCTGTGCATCGCCAGGTGTGACCCAGAAAGCAAAATAAATAAATAAAATTTCCCTCTTGCTTATCTTCATACGCAACACTGAAAGAATTAATGTTACAAGTCAGAATGGGTGATTTCCCACTTGGTTGTAGGGCCATGGGGTACAAGCACCCATACAAACCAGAGTCGAGACTGATTAATAGAGTGGAAATTGAAAGAAATAAAAATTAAGAGAAAAGTTAAGGGCTCTTATTTCTCTCACAGAAACTTCTGGAATGGAATGAAAGCAACTGTCGGTCGGGTTAGATATTCTCCTAGAAGGCTTGAATTCCTCAGAAGTTCAGTCCCATTCTTCTACCTGCAAACACCACCTATTAATATGTGTGTATTTTTATAATTAGATAAAAATATTAATTTCAATAACTGCCTAAAAATGGATTTTAAGAGCCGGAGAGATGGTACCTCTGGTAAGATGCTTGCCTTGCATGTGGCTGACCCAAGTTTGATCCCCGGCACCCTAAATGCTCCCCCAAAACCTCAATCAGAGTGATCCCTTAGTGCAAAGTCAAGAATAAGTCCTGAGTATCACCCATTCTAGCCCCAAAACCAAAAAAAAATATTAACACTTGCAAAATATTTTTAAATATTTCTGAGGACTGAAGCAACAGTCCAGAGGTTGCACACAGCTGACCCTGGTTTGATCCCCGATACTCCATGGTCCCCCCAGCACCACTGGGAGCCACTCGCAAGCTCAGGGCGAGAAGTAGCCCGAGAGCAATGCTGGGTATAGCCCATCACCTCTCCCCCCGCCGCAATGTAACTGAAATGATTATGTTAAAAAAGAGAAATACTAATTAAACAGCAACTAGGTGCTTTTCAATCAACAAACTGGCAAAGAAACAAAAATGAGTGTTGCTCTGTTAGTGAAGCTATGAGGAAACAGGCATTCCTGCGATTTGGTGGCTAAAGTGTAAAAATGGCATAATCCTTTCGACAGGCAACCTAGCGGCATCCAGCAAAATGACGCATTTTTACCCTTTCGTCCACTAATCTCATGTCTGGGAATTTATCCTACCACTATTTCTCTGCCGGTATAAAATAGGCAAGTTCAAAGTTAATCACTGAAGCATTACTTGGGAAGGCAAAGCACTGACAGCCCTTTTGGCTTCCGGCACTTGAACAAAATATAGCACAATCCCGAGGACAGTTCCTGGAACCTTATGCAGCTACAGAGAATGGGAAAACTTTTCTGAAATGAAAGATCTCAAGAGTACAGTTAATATGAGTGAGAGCTGGAGCAATAGTACAGTGGATAGGGCGTCTGTCTTGCATGGGGCCAACCCGGGTTGGATTCCCTGCATCCCATATGATTCCCCGAGCACAACCAGGAGTAACTCCTTTTAGTGCAAAGCCAGGAGTAACCCCTGAGCATCGCTGGGTGTGAACCAAAAAGCAAAAAAGAAAAAGGAGTATAGTTAACATGAGAAAAAGCTCAGCATCCAACATATATAGCATGCTGCTTTTATTTATTTATTTATTTATTTATTTATTTTTGGCTTTTTGGGTCATACCCAGTGATGTACAGAGGTTACTCCTGGGTCTCCACTCAGGAATTACTCCTGGCAGTGCTCAGGGGACCATATGGGATGCTGGGGATCCGGGTTGGCTGCGTGCAAGGCAAACGCCCTACCCGCTGTACTATTGCTCCAACCCACATGCTGCTTTTAAAATTTTAAAAAAATGAGAGGCAAATAATATTTGTTGTATATGTGCTTACATTTAAATAAACACTAGGATACAGATAGGACTGGGGCCAGGGTGCAAAGGGTGGTCTAAATTCCAGCCGGAGCACATGATAGCTGGGCACTGCTGGGTGTGACCCCCAAACCAATAAACAGCAACAGAAACCAATGAAAGGGCAAGGGCGTGGCGCTGCTGTCAAGTGCAGAGAACAGGGTTTGAGCTCTTTCACCAGAAAAAAATCACTGTCACTGTATCACTGTCATCCCATTGTTCATTGGTTTACTCAAGCAGGCACCAGTAACGTCTCTATTCCTCCCAGGCCTGAGACTGTAGCAGCCTCTTCTTACTCGTCATTTCCCAACAGTTGGAGGCTCTTTCAGGGTCAGAGGAATGAGACCTGATATCGTTACTGTTTTTGGCATATCGAATACACCACGGGGAGCTTGCCAGGCTCTGCCTGTAACAAAGAGTCTCGCAATGGAGACGTTACTGGTGCCTGCTCAAGCATACCAGAGGAAAAAACCCACTAAAATAGTTTGCTAACCACAGAAACTGGCACACAGCCAAAAGAACAAGAGCAACCAGTGCTGGCCCGGATGCAGGGAGAAATGGACTCTCCTTCACTGTTGGTGGGAATGCCGACTGGTCCAGCCTTTTGGGAAAACAATATGAGCATTCCTCAAAAGACCAGAAATTTAGCTTCCACATGACCCAGCAATGCCACTTCTGAGAAAATAGCCTGGCGGTCCAAAAACACAGCAGAAACACCATCTGCATTTCTATATTCACTGCAGCACTGTTCACAGTAGCCAGAATCTAGAAACAACCCAAGTGCCCAAGAACAGACAACTGGATAAAGAAACTATGATTTACTCTACAAACTAGTCTACACTGTGGAATACTATGCCGCTGTTAAGAAGAATGAAGCCATGAAATTTGCTTGTAATTGGATGGATATGGAGAGTATCATGCTGAATGAAAAGAGTCAGAAGGAGAAGGACAGGTATAGAATGCCTTGTATTCAATGGTGGGATACAAACATATACTATGAGACTAATATCCAAAGTGAGGGTAAACAGAGGTTAGGAAGACTAGTCAATAGTTGGAAGCTTGCGACAAGATTGTTGGGGGGGGGCAAAGGGCAGTTAGGATAGAGAAAGGATCAGCATGACAATAATAGTTGGAAATGATCATTTGGGGCAGGAACTGAGTATTGAAGGTAGGTAAAGGAACATACCTGATATCCTTTCATTATCTATATTGCAAACCATAAGGAACAAACTGGTCGACATCATACGTAATGCGATTTGGAGACGACCACTGGACTAGAGCCATTACCAACTGTATTCCACGGAACATCAAAAAAATATCTAGCCGCCCACCTACGAGATGGTCAGACTTCTTCGTCAAGACCCTGAACTTTTGATGCTCTTCATGTTCCTGGAGCAAGCAGATGCCACTGGGCTACACTGGCACGCGACAGGAACAAATGGAGACATTACTGGTGCCCACTTGAGCAACTCGATGAGCAACGGGATGACAAGTGACAAGGAACAAATGGGAAGAAAGAGAGAGAAGAAAAGTGCCTGCCACAGTGGCAGGTGGGGGATGGGGCCAGCAGAGGGCAGGAGGGAAATGGAGACCACTGGTGATGGGAAAAGTACACTGGTGAGGAATGGGTGTTACAACATTATATGACTGAAATTCAATCATGAACAACTTTGTAAATGCGTTTAGCACCGTGATTCAATTAAAATAATTTTAAATGGTTCACTATAATTAGCTGGATACAGGAAGATGAGGGCAGAAGAACATGTCAACATTTCAGCACAAACCTTTCTATACATTTTTATGTCAAGGCTTGGAAATCTATTGTCTAATAAAAAAAAATTTACTTAAGAAAGGAAAATGTTCACATTATGTCAAAGCAATAAAAAAATCACATACAGTACATAATCACAATTATGAAAAACGTAATAGACATAGGGCCCAGGAGACAGTTCAGGGGGCTGAGCACATATGTGCTTTGAAGGCAGGAGGTGCAGGTTTGATCCCCAGAATCACGTGGTCCCAAGTACCTCCAGGAGTGACACCAAGCACAGAGCTAGGAAAAGACCTTGAGCATCACCAGGTGTGTCCCCCCAAACCAAAAACCAGAAACAAAATGGCAAGCACATCCAACATGAGGAAAAGAGCATGACATAGAATGGTGCTTTTGAGCCGTTTTACACTGAGAATCGATAGAAACAGTGAATTATTTTGTGACTGGCTAAGACTAAATCATCATTATTCCCCTCTACGTGCATAATGATGGAATAAAAATCATCATTTATAATAGTACCATTGTATTGTTTTTTTTTTCGGCGGGAGGGGGGAAGGTTGGAGAGAGTTTGGCTAAACCCAGCCATGCTTTGGGCCAATTCCCAGCTCCATGCTTGTGGTTACTCCTGCCGGTGCTCAGGAAACCACGGGGTACTAACCGGGGATCCAAACGGGCTCAGCTGCAGGTGAGGCAAGCACCTTTGCACTGTCCAGCCCTGTTTCGCGTTTTGAATATCATCCTGTATAAAATTTCAAAACTCTACACAGCTATACCATGTACATGTACCAAGTGACAATAACAATTTTTTTCAGACCAGAGGGAATTTCTGCAGACTGACACCAGCCCATGGATCAGCAGTTGACCAGCACTGTCCTAGAGATGGAAAAAAATAGCTCCACTGGTTGAGCACAGGTTCTGCAGGCAACAGGCCGAGGTTTGATCACTGGCACAGCATGACCTGGTCCACCAAGCATCACCAGGAGCAAACCCCAAGCACAGAGCTTGGAGTAGCCATTGAATACTGTCCATGTGGACCCCAAACACAAACAAAAGTATCAAAGCCATTCTCCTATGGTGTTGTTTTTCATGGTTACCATTGTTTTCTTCCCTTAGTTACCTGTATGTCTACATTTCTTCATGAGGAAAACAATGTCTCATTTCAATATTTCCACTCATAATGCACACACTTCAATTCGGTAGGTGACTTTTGGCTCCTAGTGCCCAAACATTCAATAAATATAAGAAGAAAACAAATACTTACGATGACAGTACTATGGCAACAGCATCATTGAGGACACTTTCACCAAAAAGAAGTGCGTAGAGTTCAACATCAACTTGGAGCTCGTGGAATATGGCAAGAACAGTCACTAGCAAGTAGAAAAAGTCAGAGAATCATTAAACTATTACAGATGTAACATATTCACCTCCACAGATAATTGTAACCACTAACTGAAAATAAATTTCTTCCTCTTAGCATTCAATCCTAATCAACTTTCTCTTATTAGATTCAGTGATTTTACTATTCCTCTGACAATTCAATAATTTTATAGGATTCAATAATTTTATTGAATCAAATATTTTTTGCCCTATTTGTGTACCTGTAAGATCTCCTTTCTGTCCCTTAAAATAGCTGAAAGTAACTTTTAAGGACTGCGATGGTCTACATTCTTCATGCAAATGCCAATGATCTCATCTGACATATTTCTTATTCCATAGAGACTCTATTTCTTACAGAGAAAAGAAATTCCTTCATGAAAAGGAATATTATGATAAAGCATTTCCCACTGCCAATTCAACTTTTCTTTGAAGCTTTGCAACTCATTGCAACTTGACTTGCAAATTTTAAGCACAACAGTTTAGCAGAGACAGCCAGAAATGAAAAACTTAAGTTTGGTTTTTGGTTGGGAGAAAATTTATGAGCAGAATTACAGCTACCACGAAAAGCCAGTGATCAGACTATTACAGCTGAGGTTAAAAGAAAAACCATCAGGGTCAGAGAAATAGTATAGGAGGTAAGGTGCTTGCTTGCCTTGTATGCAGCTGACAACAGTTTGAACTCTCAGCACCATGTAAAGTCCCCTGAGCACTGCTAAGGATCACTCCTGAGCACTGAGCCAGGAATAGTGCCTGAGCACTGCTGGGTGTGGCCCATAAAGCAAACAAACAAACAAAGACTCCAATTTTATGTTTACATTTTGGGGTGCTTTTTTAGGTGGGGTACACTAAGTGGTTCTCAGGACTTACTCCTGACACTGAGGTCAGGGATCATTCCTGGTGAGCTCGGGAGACCACGTGGGGTGCTGGGGATCAAATCTGGGATGGCCCCATGCAAGGAAAGTTTCTACCCACCATACCATCTCTCCGACCCTCCCCCAAGACTCCTTCTAGTAAATAATGACATGACAATCCCTAGCAAATCAGGTGAGATTTCAGTTGCATTTAGGGGCCAGAGAGAGAGAGAAAGTACAGCAGGTAGGGCACTTGCCCTGCACACAGCCAGCCACGTTCTATCCCCAGTACCACAAATGGTACCCTGAGCACGGTCAGGAATGAACCCTGAGCAAAGAGCCAGGAGTAAGCCTGGAGCATCTCTGAGTGTGGCCCCAAAGTTAAAATAAAGAGATAAAGGTGCATTTATAACTTTAATAGCTGAGTCACATACAACTCACTTGCTAAACTCCAGCACATGAAAGATCATTATAAGTAAGGCGGAGAGAGCCTCTTCAATGCCAACTCCTAAAACCTGGGATTTCTTTTTTTTTTTTTTTGGCTTTTTTTGGGTCACACCCGGCGATGCACAGGGGTTGCTCCTGGCTCTGCCTCAGGAATTACTCCTGGCGGTACTCAGGGGACCATATGGAATGCTGGGAATCAAACCCAGGTTGGCCGCCCTGCCTGCTGTGCTATCGCTCTAGCTCCAAAATCTGGAATTTCTAAGACATAGTTTCCAGGCCAGGCTGATGGCTCAAAGAGAAAGAGCACATGTCCAGCGGGCTTGGGGCTCTGGAACTGATCCCTGATACCATATGACTTCCGAGCACTGCAGAGGGTAGCAATGGTGGTCTCAGCACCGCTGGGAGGCCCAAAATTCCAAACAAAATAAACTAAAGACAGACGGAGTTTCTACTGCAAAGCATTTGAATTGAAATCCTACTGGTACCAAAACTTCCCAAGAAAAGGAGAAAAAGGGTGGGAACAACAATGCTGCCGAATTTTGAAAAGAACTAATAATCTATACTTAATGCTTCTGTAGCACTGTAGCAGTGTCCTATTGTTCATCGAATTGCTCGAGCGGGCACCAGTAACGTCTCCATTGTGAGACCTGTTGTTACTGTTTTTGGCATATAGAATACGCCACCAGGAGTTTGCCAGGATCTGTCGTGCGGGCGGGATACTCTTGGTAGCTTGTTGGGCTCTCTGAGAGGGGCGGAGGAATCAAATCCAGGTAGGCCGTGTGCAAGGCAAACACCCTACCCACTGTGCTATCGCTCTAGCCTTAATGCTTCTATCAAATGAAAACAATTTTAGAATAAGTGCAGGTTGCAAGTGCCCATGTGACTTAGCGCAAATATCACTATCTCACTTGATATTTTGTTTTGTTTTCAGACCACACTAGGCAGTGCTCAGGGGTTACGCCTGGCTCTGTACTCAGAAATTACTCCTGGTGGTGCTCAGGGGAGCATATGCGATGCTGGGGATTAAACCCAGGTATGGCCGCTTGCAAGGCAAGCTCCCTGCCCTCTGTACTACCTCTTTGTCTCAAGATTTCTTTAAAAAGATTTTTTACCTGAGCCAGTCAAGGAATTTTGCTCCCCAAACAAACTCAGATGCCTGGAGTAACACAGGCAGCCCTGCTGACTTATGACTTCATTCAGGCTTTGCAAAGGAGTTTGCTTTCAAGAGAGGGCTTAAAAAACAGACCACTGTCCTTGCAAAAACCATTCGACCTGCATACTTACTGATCAAGTTAGAGCTACAGGCCTTAATGGGGGTGGCTTTGATTATCTTTGAGGAAGTAATATGATTTGCAGTTTCAAAGATAGCAGGCTCCACAAATGACCTCCACACCTTTTCTTTTTCTTTTCTTTTTTTTTTTTTTGGTTTTTTGGGTCACTCCGGTGATTCACAGGGTTCCTCCTGGCTCATGCACTCAGGAACTACTCCTGGCAGTCCTTGGAGGACCATATGGGATGCTGGGAATCGAACCCAGGTCGGCCACATGCAAGGCAAACGGCCTACCTGGTGTGCTATCGCTCCAGCCCCAACCTCCATTCATTTTTTTTTTACTGATGAAACACCATGAGGTACAGTTGTAGACTTACAAACTTTCATGCTTGGGTTTCAGTTATACAATGATTGAGTACCCATCCCTCCACCAGTGCCCATTCTGCACCACCAATGATCCAAATAGCCCTCCCACCCCCCACCCCATTCCCCCTCCCCACCCTGCCTCTGTGGCAGGGCATTCCCTTTTGTTCACTCTTTCCTTTAGGGTGTTGTAGTTTGCAAAAGAGGTATTGAGTAGCCACCTTGTTCAGTCTATAGTCTACTTTCAGCACACATCTCGCATCCTCCAAACATCCTTTACTTGGTGTTCCTTTCTCTATCTGAGCTGCCTTTTCCCCCAGCATGTGCTGCCGGCTTCCAAGCCGTGGAGCAGACCTCCTGGTACTTATCTCAAATATTCTTGGGTGTTCATTTCCCATTCTGCTATTTTATATTCCCCAGATGAGTGCAGTCTTTCTATGTCTGTCTCTCTCTTTCTGGCTCATTTCACTTAGCATGATACTTTCCATGTAGAACCACTTGTATGTAAATTTCATGACTTCATCTTTTCTAACAGCTGTGTAGTATTCCATCGTGTAGATGAACCAAAGTTTCTTTAACCTGTGATCTGTTCTCGGACACTCAGGTTTTTTCCAGGTTTTGGCTATTGTGAACAGTGCAGCAATGAACATAGAAGTGCAGATGTCATTTCGACTGTACTTTTTTTTGCCTCTCCGGGATATATTCCCAGGAGTGGTATTGCTGGGTCAAATGGGAGCTCAATTTCTAATTTTTTGAGAATCGTTCATACTGTTTTCCAAACCAACCTCCATTCATTTTCAAACGGTCTCTGTTAGGGCAGGAGGGGTAGGAAGCAGTTAGGGAGCCCGCATTTCAAGCGGCTGAGTCTGGTTTAATACTAGGTCCCCAGAGAACTACAGGGAGTGGGCCCACCCCCAGCACAGAGCCAGGAACACTCCCCTCCCCCACACCTCCCGTGCTCTCCCCAAAATAAAAACAAAACCATCTCTAAACTAGTATACACCATTCTCCTTTGGTGCTCTTTATTATCAGAGTTAAACTAAAGAATTCTGACAGAACGGTAGGAGCCTACCTTTAGCAGACAATTACTTTTAGGTGACAATTAAAGAACATGCCTAGCTTGCAAGGTCCAGCATGCAAGGTCGAAAGGCAAAATGGAACAAACCGCTCCCGAGGCCAAGCGTTTCATATGAGAGAGACTTTCCATTCTTAACTGCCAATGCTTCAGCCCATCTTCCTCTCTGGGTCTCTTTGCTCTACATATTTTCGAAATTCCTAATTGGAACGGGGCTGTTTACTTCAGCCCATATTAGAAACCCTTAAGCCTACCTAGGTATAAACTAAACTCATCCTCCAGCTATGCTCTTATCAGAACTACTTTATAGGGCTAATGAGATAGTATAGGGGGTAAGGCACGTGGTGGGATCCCTGTTCAATTCCAGGCACTGTATACGGTCCCCAAGCCCCATCAGGAGGGACCACTGAGCACAGCGCACACCACCACTGGGTATGCCCCCCCCCAAAAAAAAATCCTAGGGCTGTAGAGAGGACAGCAGATACGGCACTTGCTATGCACGTAGCTCACTGCCTGAATCCATCCAGGAGTGATCCCTGAGCACGTGGATCACAGAGCCAGGAGTAAATCCTGAGCATGGCCGGATATGGCCCACCAAAAGTTTAAGAAAGAAACTATTTTAATCATATGCTCAATTCTAATAAAACAATTTTTGATGTAATTAAAGCAACCAGTAGCTCCAAATCATCCTGTAGTGTGAGTGTAAGAGTATACTTGGGGGAAAAAAATAACAGGGCCTTTTATCATTCTTATTCTTATTAGCTTAATACCAAATTCGTGGGGGAAATTCCACTTACAGTAGTCACATACTGGCCTCTGGGAATAATGTAAAACCTATTAGTCTGAGGGCTAGAGAGATAGCACAGCGGGTAGAGTGTTTGCCTTGCACATGGCTAGCCGGGTTCAATTCCTATCACCCCATATGGTCCCCGCCCCCGAGCACCGCCAGGAGTAATTCCTCAGTGCATGAGCCAGGAGTAACCCCTGTGCATTACCAGATGTCACCCAAAAAGCAAAAAAAAATTAGTCTGGGGCTAGAGAGAGAGAGTATAGAGTTAAGGTGATTACTTGCATGTGGCAGACCCCAAGTTCAAATCCCAACATCATATACGGTCACTGAACACTGCCAGGAGTGAGCCCTGAGCAGTGCCAGGATAAGCCCTGAGCACCAGTGGGTGTGGCCCCAAGCCCAAAAATAAACGATTAAATTGACAGATTAAACCTCTTCTCTTACTCTAAAATGCAGCTAGCCAAAAGTAACCAAGGTTTTTAGGGAACTGGTTTTCCAGAAACTTGAAAGAAAGTGTTAATTATTAGCTACTTAAACTAATCTAGTTCATCTTCTGTTTACAAGGGTTAGAGACCAACCTGAAGTGCTAAAGAAAATGCCTCGCAACCTTTGTTTAAGCAACAATGACCAGTAACAAGCTAATGTAATAAAGAGAAACAATAACGAACCTGGAAAGCTTGAGCTAAAAGAACTATGAACTGTGTTTTCCTAGAGAACTGGAAAGTATAATACTAGGGGAAGTCCCTGTCAGGAATTGCACAGCTCACAGAAAGAAATACTCAGAAGAGCTTTGAGGGCAAAAAATATTGTTGAATAAGCGCCGGGGAGATGGCTGAAGAAGTGGAAGCCCAGGATTTGCTCTCAAGAGGCCTGAGTTTGATCACGGTATCCACATGGTTCCCTGAGTATTCTGCAAGGAGTTCCTGAGCACTGGAGGAGGCGACCACCAAACCACAACGAACCAAAGGGAAAATACTGTCCAATAAGTATTTTAGCTCCATTCCTATGTAAAACATACCTGGGTCAGTGGCAGAGACAATGGCACCAAAGAGCAGACAATCTGTAAAGTAAAAATCTCCAGCGAGTTGTCCGGTTACATCCATCAGTGTCACACAGCCATACATTATTGACCTGCTCGATAAACAGATGTCGGCTTTAGGGAGGAAATGCAACTTGTTTGAGGACGTTAAAAGAAGATGGATGTACTGTAGAACTCTGCGACTAATCCTGGATTTAGTTCGTGCCGTTTAAATATGGCAATGCTTAGACCTTAAAAATATTCTAACTTGTTATGTCTGTGAATACATTTTATACCAAAAGCCCCGGCACACACATTCAGGAATACTACATGGCAGCAATGAAATATGCATCGTGGGAAAATTACCATTTAAAGAGAGTTTGAAAATTTTAAGTACTTACCCAATTACAAAACAAGAAATTGCCGTTCCAAGAAAAGCGTATGCTAGGATAGACCCAAGGTTTCGAAAGAAATGTCTCTGAGAAAAAAAAATTACACTGCATTAGAATACTCCCCAATTATTTGAAAAAAATAAAGGCTGCCTATTCCAGTCTGCTATGCTAGTATTAAGTACATTATTCATTGAAGGAAATAAGAGACTTTCCCCCCTACAGGCATCATTATCGGCATCTAAAATAAAGGAGAGAAGGGAGGGAAACCAGGAAAGAATTGCCTGTTCCTGAAGTGTCCGAGATCGTTCCCAAGACATGAAACAGCAAAAGCACTTACCCTTTTCAGACTGTATCCTGCATAAAATATGATAGGAGGAAGTAATATGTTGAAAAATACTTCAGGATCAAAAGTGACCTGTAAAACAAAGAATTCGTTTAGATGAATTCCCTTATAAGACCTCACGTTACATTATCCAATGATCAAGAAGAAAGCGATTAAATGTTAAGCTGGCACGAGGCAAAACTATTATGGTACTAACTGAAAGGTTGCATTTGGGATAGCTGAAGGTCCACTTCTCAATCAAAAGACAAGTGGATAACCAGAACAATCAGCTAAGTCATTCCTGCAGAGAGGGGATTAAAATAACTGAAGAGAGCACAGGGGGGATAAGGCGTCTGCCTGGCATGTGGCCGACCCTGTTTTGGCACCACAAAGTCCCCTAAGTACCAGTGGGAGCAACCTCCAAGCTCAGAGCCAAGAGTATCCTCCAAGCATTAGCTGCGACCAAAACTCCCGGCCGTGCAAAAATCCTACTGACACACAAAAATAAAATATATGAGAAAGGCCAAACGTAAGAAAAAAAAAAACCCAAAAAAACCCAACTAGTATTGAAAAAAAAACCCAACTAGTATTGTAAAAAGGGAGGCATGGCCTTATCTCTGACAAGAGGAAACAGACTTCTTGCAGAGATAACAGCGCTCAAAGTACGCAATACTAGGATAAAAAAGTTTCTGTCCAGGCGCTGGAGTGACAGTACAGTGGGTAGGGCGTTTGCCTTGCATGCAGCCGGCCCGGGTTCGATTCGCAGCATCCCAGATGGTTCCCTGAGCAGCACCAGGAGTAATTCCTGAGTGCAAAGCCAGGAGTAATCCCTGTGCATTGCTGTGTGTGATCCAAAAAGAAAAAAAAAGTTTCTGTCCAACGCAGACCTCTAGGGCTGATAGTCCATTTCTTTTACGACCTAGGTGCTCTGATAATGCAGATGCCCCAGTTCTGCTCACAAGGCTTCAGCAGGATCGGACATGCCCACAAAGGAGCCATGCTTAAGTTTACTAGGATTCTTGGGGAACTGGAAATTTCCACAGGTGGAGATAACTTTGGCTGCCAAGCCAACTTAAAGTTTGGATATAGCACTGTAGCACTGTCCTCCAGTTGTTCATCAATTTGCTCAAGCAGGCACCAGTAACGTCTTCATTGTGAGAACTGTTGTTACTGTTTTTGGCACATCGAATACGCCACGGGGAGCTTGCCAGGCTCTGCCGTGCAGGCGAGATACTCTCAGTAGCTTGCCGGTCTCTCCGAGAGGGACAGAAGAATCGAACCCGGGTCAGCCGCGTGCAAGGTAAACACCCTACCCACCGTGCTATAGGTAGTCAGAGAACACAATCAAGATGCTGCAGTGAAGCATCTAGTCAGTGAAGATCGACAGGAGCCAAATGGCCAAGGGCGGGCAGAAACCGAGTTGGAGTGACAAGGCCCAATAAAACGGATTATTAGTGTTAGAGTCCAGAGTCGACCACCCCTCAAGGACAGAGGACAGAGCCGCTAATGCAAATCACACAGCGAGGTTTATTGCTCCAACTAGCTGGGGTCCAAGTATCCGCCGGATGCAGCGGGTTTCAACAAGGACGCCGAGCACTCAGTTCAGCAAGTTCTTAGACTTTCATTTTGGCAAGTCAGCATAATTCAGCAGTTTTCTATTACCTATAGAGTACACATATGTTGTTGTTGTTGTTGTTGTTTTGGCCCACAACATCCAGCCCCTGTCCCTGACAGTTACATTCCGAAATACCATACCTTACATTACATTATCCAATGATCAAGAAGAAAGCGATTAAATGTTAAGCTGGAACGAGGCAAAATTATTATGGTGCTAACAGAAGGGTTGCATTTGGGATAGCTGAAGGTCCACTTCTCAATCAAAAGACAAGTGGATAACCAGAACAATCAGCTAAGTCATTCCTGGAGACCTAATCTTATTCTGGGGATGGATTCTTGTTCCTGGAAGAGGCCTAAGTTACTCAGAGCCTGTCATGGCAGTTCTCCGGCTAAGTGGGTCCTAACATTAGAAACTACGAGAGGATCAGGAGAAAGAAAAACAGCCCAGGGAGCAGTAAGGCTGCACCCCTCACCTCCGATGTAAAGCTTTATGCAGGCACAGCCTGCCACCCTAATGGATACTCTGACTGGGGCCCCCTGAAGCTGTCGAAGACTTTGAATCAAAGATTCAGTTACGGGGCTGGAGCAATAGCACAGCGGGAAAGTGTTTGACTTATACACGGCCAACCCGAGTTCGATTCCCAGCATCCCATATGGTCCCCTGAGCACCGCAAGGAGTAATTCCTGAGTGCAGAGCCAGGAGTAACCCCGATGCATTGCCAGGTGTGACCCAAAAAAGCCAAAAAAAAAAAGAAAGAAAAAGATTCAATTATGCTCAATCTATTAAAGCAAAGGAGGCGAGGCAGTCTTGATTATCCCGTATCAAAGAAATATTAATGGAAGATCTTCGGTAGTCGCCAATAAATGGGGAGACCAAGGACTCTAGGAACACTTACAAATCCTACTTAGCTCAGTGCCTGTGGTCACCAATTTGTAAGTGTACAAACATCGCGGAGTGAAAACACCAAGGGCTCGGGTACTCCAGCTCAATTAGGGAAAGAAATGCGTGGAGTACCCAAGACAAAGCCCGGGGTCTGAAAGGGATGGGGCACCTGCACCAGACCCCCCCCCCCCCCGCTCCCGCTTCGAGTCGGGGCACAGCCTGGCCTCTCAAGTACCGTGACCCCCCCACTAAAACGCTCCTCCGCATTACATTCGAATTGCTATATATTGAGGCTTCGCTCCATTTTAAAAGACTGATTTTGTTTTTCCTGAAGTAATGTGGGCTTGCAACACTGTTTTAGGAGCAGAGTGTCCCCCCCCAGCTCTTCAAATGTAGATGAGCACCCTCAACCACCCTCCAAACAAAGTTCCAGTCCCCTCTGCAGAGCCCACATTGGGGGGGGGGGGCCCTTCCTGTCCCTTTGGTGCCCCCGTCCCCCACTCTGGGAACCTCTATTCTGTGATTCAGGTCAGGCCTTGTTTTGGTTTGGCTTTCAGGGCTCCGCTTTTGTTTCTTTAGATCCCACATACAATTCCTTCAAACATCATTAAAAGTTCATTATGTATTTTCCCAGAACCACTTGGCTCGTGTCAGATACTTTAAAAGGAAAACTCAAAGGTGCCCATTCAACTAGGAACTTACCTTTCGGAGCATTTCATTATCCTGAACATTATTGAGCTCGTGTGAACTAATCTCTCCTTTCAGCGTATACTCATAAAATTTTCCGCTAACGTTCACCAGTAAGGTAGTTGGGCTTGACTGGATGTCACAGTTCAGGGGCACGTTGTTTACATCACTTGGAACGTGAATGCCATACCGAAGCACGAGGCCCACCAACAGACCTGGAAATAAAAAAAAAAACATTCCGTTCTTCTTTCTGAGACAACTCCTTTTGTACCACCTTGCACACCCCATCCCCCACAGCCCGCTCTCCCCTGAACCCCCCATCCCTCATATCCGCCCCCCCACACACACACAGCTTGGAGTGGAGACCAGCAAAAATCCCTTACATTCAGCACTGTAGCACTGTCCTCCCGTTGTTCATCGATTTGCTTGAGCAGGCCCAGTAACGTCTCCATTGTGACACTCGTTACTGTGTTTGGCATATCGAATCCATCACGGGGGGCTTGCCAGGCTTTGCCATGCAGGCGAGATACTCTCGGTAGCTTGCCGGGCTCTCCGAGAGGGGTGGAGGAATCGAACCTGGCTCAACCAGGCCTGCGGCGCGCAAGGCAAACGCCCTACCTCTGTGCTATCACTCCAGCCCCTATGGTTCAGAATCAAAATTTTTTTGTTTTTTGCTTTTTGGGTCACACCCAGCGACGCACAGGGGTTACTCCTGGCTCATGCACTCAGGAATTACTCCTGGCAGTGCTCGGGGGACCATATGGGATGCTGGGAATCGAACCCAGGTCGGCCGCGTGCAAGGCAAATGCCCTACCCGCTGTGCTATTCCTCCAGCCCCCAGAATCAAATTTTAGACCAAAGGCAATTTCATCTGAAAGCATTACTAAATTCACAAATCTGATTCTACTTCAACATTTATATAATCCAGTGGCATCGGAGGGCAAAACAGTCCTGAGAGTTAACAGGACATACTGCATTTCTAGATCACTGTCACTGTCACTGTCCTGTCACTGTCCTCCCATTGTTCATCGATTTGCTCGAGCGTGCCCAGTAACACTGTGAGACTTGTTGTTATTGTGTTTGGCATATCAAATACGTCACAGGGAGCTTGCCAGGCTCCGCCATGCGGGCAAGATACTCTTGGTAGCTTGCCGGGATCTCCAAGAGGGACGGAGAAATCGAACTCGGGTTGGCCTGGTTGGCCGTGTGCAAGGCAAACGCCCTACCCGTTGTGCTATCGCTTCAGCCCATTCTAGATCAAGGCATAATAAATGATTAATGAGGCTCGAATAAAATGAGGAAATGCCTCTGATCGCCTGTCCCCAGATCCAAGAAGTCTCAGCTTGATAGTGCCATCATGTCAGGAAAGGGCTGTCTGGCGCGAGCTGGGACCAGCTTGCATGCACCCGTTCCTTCCCTGGCAACACATTGTGTGTTCCCTGAGCACCGCCAGTTACAGTCTTGGAGGTCCCCCAGGAACAGCGCCAGGGTGGCCCGGGGAATTCCTGGCACTGCACAGCCTCGTGCCCTCACATTGAGCTGACACTCGCTCCGAGGCGTCCTAAGCACCACTCGGGAGACCCTTTCTCCCCCCCGTAATTATATTTGATTAATTCTGTAAAGTGTTTTCTACTTCCACTCAGCAGTTCACAAGACTGTTGAACAACGTACATGGGCTGACCAAGCACGCCACATTTAACAAGGGGGGAAGTCACTAATATTTGTAGATTGATTTCTATGACTTAAAGGTCTTTTTTAAAATTTGTAAGTCTATAACTGTACCTCGTGGTGTTTCACTAATAAAAAAATAAATTAATTTAAAAAATTTTAAATTAAAAAAAAAAAAACAAAAAAATATGTCAAAAAATTAACTAAGGCATATAATTTTTAAAATAAAATGACCTACATTGAAATAAAATTAGTTTAACACCAGTAATTTTTGACATGTACACTATTAATAAGCAGTATTATGAAAACAGGTACATCCTGTGAACTGTGTATTTTTTATCATTTTACATGCCTAAGAATTACAACTTGAAAGTCTGTAAAAAACAAAATAAAAAAAAATAAAAAACAATCTCTCTGCTTTCGAAGTAAAACATGGAACAAAGGCCCTAAATGGGGCCCTCTGATATCAATTTGTGTTGCTAACTTTTTACCTGCTGCACCACACTGATAAATACGCATAATTATTACAGGCACTACAAATCGGTATTATCAAACTTTTTAATAACAGCTTCATTGAGATATAAAATACACACCATATACTTAATTCCTTTAAACCATACAATTCAACAGCCTTTAATATATTTGCAAAGTTGTACATTCATCAATAGAATTTCAAAAACTGTCTTTTTGTGGACCACATCTGAGAACCATGCAGTGCCAAGGGATCAAACCTGGGCCTTCCATGAGAGAAGAATGTTCTGGGTCCATTGAGTTCTCTCTCTCTCTCCAGCCCTTAAAACATTTTCTTTTTTTAAAATTTTATTGAATCACCATGAGAAAGTTGCAAGCGTTCATATTTGGGTTACAATCACACAATGATCAAACACCCATCCCTCCACCAGTGCACATTCCCCACCACCAATATCCCCCGTATACCCCCCCTTTCACACCCTCCCCCTGTCTCCATGGAAAGACAATATTCCCCATACCCTCTCTCTATTTTGGGACATTATGGTTTGCAATACAGACACTGAGAGGTCAACATGTTTGGTCCATTATCTACTTTCAGCACACATCTCCCATCCCGACTGATTCCTGCAACCATCATTTTCTTAGTGATCCTTTCTCTATTCCAGCTGCCTTTTCCACTCCGCTCATGAGGCAGGCTTCCAGCTATGGGACAATCCTCCTGGCCCTTGTGTCTACTGTCCTTCGGTGTCATTACTCCACAAGTAAGTGCACAATCCTTCTATGTCTGTCCCTCTCTTTCGCTGTTCGTTAAAGAAACCCTCATGCCTATCAGCACTCACTCTCCATTCTGTGTCCTCCACTCCCAATTCTTTTTTATTTATTTTATCTTTTTTTTTTCTTTTTGAGTCACACCCGGCGATGCTCAGGGGTTACTCCTGGTTCGTGCACTCAGGAATTACTCCTGGCGGTGCTCAGGGAACCATATGGGATGTTGGGAATCGAACCCGGGTCGGCCGTGTGCAAGGCAAATGCCCTACCCGCTGTGCTATCACTCCAGCCCCTCCGCTCCCAATCCTTACACCCATTTGCCCATTCCGGATATTCCACAGAAACGGAATCCACCAATCCTGACCTTTTCGTGTCTGACTTCCTTCACTTCGCATAATGCCAACCAGGGTTTCTTGAAGCTGTGGCAGGTGACTGTATATGCCTTTTTAAGATCAAGTAATACTCCACAGTATAGCTAGACCTGAACGGCAGACCGAACTCAAACTGTTGGTCCTGTCTTTTAATGCCACACTGCAGAATGCGCCGTCACTATTACGAGTTACCTGCCTGACTCCTTTCACTCTAACCAGCCAGCACTGTTCTAACATATATGTAACATGTATGGATGGAAGACAGTGAGGAGTAAGCCCCTTCTTCCTATCTCAGACATAAAAAGAGTCTCATTATTTTTTCTTTTTGGGTCACACCCGGCGATGCACAGGGGTTATTCCTGGTTCATGCACTCAGGAATTACTCCTGGCAGTGCTCTGGGGACCATATGGGAATTGAACCCGGGTTGGCTGCGTGCAAGGCAAATGCCCCACCTGTTGTGCTATCACTCCAGCCCAGAGAGGCTCACTCTTGAAGAACACTCAGCCCAGTTAGACTGAAGAAGCAATTATGATGTGATATTTATGTCTGCAAGGGCTTATTAAAAAAAAGTGGGGGCCCGGACAGCTAGCACAGCACGTAGGGCATTTGTCTTGCATGCAGCTGACCCGCGCCGGATCCCCAGCATCCCATCTGCTCCCCCAAGCCCCGACAGGAATGATTCCTAAGTGGAGAGCCAGGAGTAACCCCTGAGCATCACAGAACATGGTCACCAACCCCCCTTAAAAAAAAAAAAAACAGAAAGTGGTACCTAACCAAGCTGAGGAAGGGCAGGGATATTAGGACATCTTCCCTAATGTCACTAATTCAGAAACGAAAGTGATCTTTTCTTCTCATGGGGAAATTATGGGGCAGAGCCCGTCCAGGCAAGATAGAGAGAGAGCACGGCTCATTCAGGGAATTGCAAGCAATCGCTGTGGCTGACCTTCTACCCAGTATGAGATGAAGTCGGGAAAGGGAGTTCAGATTTGATTCTTAGAGCAAAAGGAAATCGGGGACTTCTCAGTAGGGGACTTCCATCAGATTTCTAGTTTACAAAGGCAACAGGGGTCAACAGGCCAGCCACAAGTGGCCGCCGCCTTTCAGGTATCAAGAACATGGGCTCGGTCTGAGCATGGCCTGGCAGGAAAGAACGTATTATCTTTTCAACGGAGGAATGGAGGTAAAAGACTAAAGTGGAACCCAACCTGACTTGGCAGCTGGGTGGGTAAGCTGACCTGAGCAACCAGGTGGAGAGCCGGGCCTTTCAGTGACAGGGGAATGATTCACGGGGGGAAATGCAGTTCAGTGCTGGATGTGGAGAACTTGATGAAACTGCGACACAAACACAGGTGACTGCATGGGAACTGGAACAGGAAGAAATGCGGGGGAGGGGAAATTCTCCCCTGGATATGGCAGCCAAAAGAGAGCTGAGGGGCTGAGAGGTAGTACCGGGGTTAAGGCACTCGCCTTTCATGTGGCCAGCCCAGTTTAGATCCCCAGCACCCATATGATCCCCGGAGTACTGCCAGGAATGAGTGATCCCTGCCTGAGCACAGGGTCAGGAGTAAGCCCTGAGCACAAGTGAAATTGGTCCCAACCCCTCCAAAAGAGAGAGCTGGAACCAGATGCAGATGCAGATGGAACAAGTAAAATGGGAAAAAAACTTGAGACATAAGACTGGGTTTTAGAAGAGGAAGTCTCGGGGTCGGAGTGATGGTACAGCAGGAAGGGCCCTTTCGTTGCATGCAGTCCACCTGGCTTCAAAACCCAGCACCCCATATGGTCCCCCAAGCCAGGAATAAGTCCTGAGCACTATTGGGTGCCCCACCCAAATGGGAAAAAAAGAAAGTCTAAAGCCTTAACCTGAGAAAATCTCAGAAGGAAAGACAAAGGAGTGGGAAGAGGAGAAACTGATGAAAAATAATAAATCCTAGAA